GAAGCAGCTTCCCTCCCCTTCCCAGCACAGCTGAACCTCCTCACCCAGGCCGGGGCCAGCAGGGCAGAGCCCCACAAGCACCCCCACCTACTAGTCCAGACTGCAGCCGCCCCTCTGCCTTCCCTCCTGCTTTTCAAGCGGAGCCCCCGCTGGGAAGCTAAACCCTCCTCAGCTGCTCTAGACGGGGCTACCGGATACCTGGACCACTGGCCCAGTGGCGATTTCCTTGTAGAATCAATATGAAATACCATTCAAATTTTAGTTCTGGCCCCACTAGCTACAGTTCAAGTTCCGACAGCCACATGTGGCTACTGTACCAGACATGCCCATCATTCCAGAAGGTTCAGTTCAGTTCAGTCACTCAGTCGTGTCCGACTCTTTGTGACCCCATGACCTGCAGAACGCCAGGCCTCCCTTCCATCACCAACTCCTGGAGTCCACCCAAACTCATGTCCATTGAGTTGATGATGCCATCCAACCACCTCATCCTCTGTTGTCCCCTTCTCCTCCTGCCTTCAATCTTTCCCAACATCAGGTCTTTTCAAATGAGTCAGCTCTTCACATCAGTTGGCCAAAATATTGGAGTTTCAGCTTCAACATCAGTCCTTCCAATGAACACCCAGGACAGATCTTCTTTAGGATGGACTGGTTGGATCTCCTTGCTGTCCAAGAGACTCTCAAGAGTCTTCTCCAACACCACAGTTCATAAGCATCAATTCTTCTGCATTCAGCTTTCTTTATGGTCCAACTCTCACATCCATTCATGACTACTGGAAAAACCATAGATTTGACTAGATGGACCTTTGTTGACAAAGTAATGTCTCTGCTTTTTAATATGCTGTCTAGTTTGGTCATGACTTTTCTTCCAAGAAGCAAGCGTCTTCTAATTTCATGGCTGCTATCACCATCTGCAGTGATTTTTGGAGCCCCCAAAATAAATTCAGCCACTGTTTCCCCATCTATTTGCCATGAAATGATGGGACCAGATGCCATGATCTTAGTTTTCTGAATGTTGAGTTTTAAGCCAACTTTTCCACTTTCCTCTTTCACTTTCATCAAGAGGCTCTTTAGTTCTTCTTTACTTTCTGCCATAAGGGTGGTGTCATCTGCATATCTGAGGTTATTGCTATTTCTCCCGGCAATCTTGATTCCAGCTTGTGCTGAAGGTTCTGTGGGACAGATCTCCTCCCCCCTCCACGCCCCAACCCCACTCCGAGGTCTTGTCCATAATAGAACCTTCCTCTCCTGTATTTTCAGTCTCTCCTCAGGGTCAGCCTGCCTGAGTTCAAATCCCACCCACACAGCTTTCCAGCTGCATGAGCTAAGTTTCCTAAGACAAAACAAAGTAGAAAACCCAATGGGAATAGTAATACCACCCTCCTCTCACCCATAGAGTTATTCCAAAGATTGAGATTATGTAAGGAGAGAGCTTAGAACCACTCCTAAATGATTCCAACACTTCCATGAGCATTAGCTGCTATTCTTGTTGTTGTTATGAACTTTCTTCAAGATGCTGAAATAAGTTCATAGCCCCCCTTTAAAATCTGCATGAATGAGTTCGAAAAGAATCTGCCAAGTGGGAAAGAAGTGGTAGCCCAAAGTCACACAGTGAAAGTTCCTCTGAGTGTGTTTAACATCTGTTTCTTTGGCTGCACAGGGTCTTAGCTGTAGCATGTGCAATCTAGTTCCCTGACCAGGAATTGAACCTGGGGTCCCCTGCATTGGGAGCACAGAGTCTCAGCCCCTGGACCACCAGGGAAGCCCGTCCTTTGTGTATTTAAAATGTATTTTCTTAGAGGACCACGTTGATCAGCTCTTCTCAACCAGGGGTGTTATCCCCCTTCCGGGGGCCATTTGGAAACAGTGAGGGGTCTAAATCATGGGGAGGGAGAGCTACTAGCATTGGTGCGCGGAGCCCTGGGACCCTGCCAAGCATCCCGCGGTGCACAGGCCGCCCCTACCACAAGCAGTGACCCAGCCCCAAATGCCAGTAGCTCCCAGTGCCGAACCACCAGTCTATGCGTAAGAGCTCAACCCAGCTGAATGGTGCATTGTTGCTGTTTAGTCGCTCAGTCATGTGTGACTCTTTGCAACCCCATGGACTGTGGCCCGCTAGGCTCCTCTGACCATTCAATTTCCCCGGCAAGAATACTGGAGTGGGTTGCAACTTCCTTCTCCAGGGGATCTTCCCGACCCAGGGATCAACCCTGTGTCTCCTGAATTGGCAGGTGGGTGCTTTACCACGAAGCCAACAGGGAAGCCCCTTGAAAGGTGTATAAAGTGAAGTCGCTAAGTCGTGTCCAACTCTTTGCCACCCCATGAACTGTAGCCTGCCAGGCTCCTCCATCCATCGGATTGTCTAGGCAAGAATACTGGAGTGGGTTCTTACTTCCTTCTCCAGGGGATCTTCCAACCCAGGGATGGAACCCAGGGATCTCCTGCACTGCAGGCAGACTCTTTGCCATCTGAGCCACGGGGAAGCCCCTGGAAGGTATATGCCTCAAACTAATTTCATGGCCTTGGACTGGACAAGATCATCAAACCCTTACTGCTGCTGCTGCTGCTAAGTCGCTTCAGTCGTGTCGGACTCTTAGTGCCCCCACGGACTGCAGCCCACCAGACTCCTCCGTCCATGGGATTCTCCAGGCAAGAGCACTGGAGTGGGTTGCCATTTCCTTCTCCAATGCATGAAAATGAGAAGTGAAAGTGAAGTTGCTCAGTCGTGTCTGACTCTTAGTGATTCCATGGACTACAGCCTACCAGACTCCTCCGTCCATGGGATTTGCCAGGCAAGAGTACTGGAGTGGGTTGCCATTGCCTTCTCCCAAAACCTTACTAGCTAGCCTTTTTTTTCTCTTTTTCAAGGAGGATGTGTTCAGGTACCCTTTATGTAACTAAAAATTACTCTTTTGAAAAAAGAAACAAAATAGCAAGTGTATCCAAACCAAGCAAAGAAACAAAATTCTCTGACCCCTACCTCTTCCTCTGCATACCCTATTTCCTTCTCCTTCCTTGGATTCCCAAATTCTCCTCCCTGTCTCCCTCCCCTCCCCCACAGCAAGCTGGCTCCCACCCACCCAACCCCCATGGGCGGTTCTCACTCAGGCCACTGGTGGCCTCTGGCTTGTTATCAAATCCAGTGGAATTTTTTTTTTTTTTTAAGATCAGACTTGGTCTGCTTCTGAGCCTGCAGGGAGGGGGTGTGTGTGTCTTCCCAGGCCTTCCACGACCCATCCCCCTCCTCGTCTGATGCTTCCCGGCTCCGGTCCAAGTTCCTCCCCTTTTATCTCTCAGTGTCACCCTTCACTGCGGTTTCATCCCACTTCAATCAGAACTGGCTACATAGTTTTCAGGGTGTGTGGCAAAGGAAGATGGCGGGGTCCCTTGTTCAAAAGGATCAATAGTTTCAAGATAGAGCAAATCATTAAACAAGTACCGGGCCCTGATGGGCATGGAGCCCCCAGGGACAGTACAGGCGCTCCCGTCTGCTCTGGTGGGGCTGACTGCCCTTCCCTCTGCTCTGGATCAGGGTCTCCTGGGCCCCTTGTCCGCCTGCTCCTCCTCCCAGGATCTCCAGCTTGGTGGTCGCCCCAGCATCCCCTGGGACCTGCCGTCTGAAGGTCCTTGGAGTAGACAGAACGCACATCTAAAGATGCCCAGGCACAAATCCCTGAAACCTATGTCTAGGTTGTGTGTGCGCTGTTGCTTCAGTCGTGTCTGACTCTTTGCAACCCCATGGGCTGTAGCCCGGCAGGCCCCTCTGTCCATTCAATTTCCCAGGTAAGAACACTGGAGTGGGTTGCCATTTCCTCCTCCAGGGGATCTTCCCACCCCAGGGAACGAACCTGGGTCTCCTGCACTGCGGCTGAATTCTGTTTGTTTGTTTTTTAGTTACATTAGGCCTTTGTTGCAGCTTGCGGACTTTCTCCAGTCTCTGTGAGCAGGGCTACTCTCTAGTTCAGCTGCCGGGCCTCCCGTCGCGGTGGGTGCTCTTGCAGGGCAGGGGCTGTGGCTCGTGGTCCCCAGTGGTTGCCGTGCGAGGGCGCAGTGCCTGTGGCCGACCGCCTCTAGAGTGCAGCCGCAGTGGCTGTGGCTGCAGGCTTAGTCACTCTGCAGCATGTGGGATCTCCTGCATCAGGAACCGAACCCCTGTCCCCGGCATTGGCAGGCGGGTTCATGTCCACTGAGCCCCTGGGAAGGCGCAGACACCTCAGCAGCATGGAACCTGTACTGATGACAGAGTGACACATTAGATCTGCCATCACCATGCATAACTGTTGTCCAGGAGACCCTCACGTAATCACGTGAGCCCTGAAAGCAGGGGACCTTCTCTGGCCAGAGGCAGGAGGACGATGGCGCAGGCCTGCGAACCAGGGAGTTTGAAGCCTAAGAGGGACTCAGGCAGAGACAGAGTGAACGCAGAAGGACACAGGCAGCCTGTCGCAGCAGGCCGGCCCCCGACGACAGCATAATAGGTGGGAGAGTTTGTCTTTTGTTTGTCTGCTTGAGGTGATGAGTGTTTTGGAATCAGATAGAGGTGATGTTTGTATGACATTGAGAATATACTGCTGCTGCTAAGTCGCTTCAGTCGTGTCCGACTCTGTGCGACCCCATAGATGGCAGCCCACCAGGCTCCCCAGTCCCTGGGATTCTCTAGGCACGAACACTGGAGTGGGTTGCCATTTCCTTCTCCATGAGAATATACTAAATCCCTTTAAAATGATGCACTGTAATGTGAGTCCAAACATCAATAGAAAATAACTAAAATGCTGTTGTTATTTAAACATTTATCTTGGGTGACTGCTCTCCCACCCCCACATTAAATTTTGCCTTGGATGGGAAAGAAAAAAGTGTTAGTTGCTCAGTCATATCCACCTCTTTGCAACCCCATGGACTGTAGCCGGCCAAGCTCCTCTCTCCGTGGGATTTTCCAGGCAAGAATACTGGAGTGGGTTGCCGTACCCTCCTCCAGGGGATCTTCCCCACCCGGGCATGGAACCCTGGTCTCCCGCATCGCGGGCGGATTCTTTACCATCTGAGCTACCGTCCCAGCCTGTTCCAGCCCATCCCCCTTCTGGACTGTGAAGTGGATTCTCTGCCCCTTCAAGTTCTGACCCTGTTTTTCCCGCTTAATACCCGACTCAGGACAAATCAGAAGCTCCCCATGGCTTCCAACCCCGATCTCTCCAGGCAAACCAGGCTCCACCCAGGGCCTCGGGGCCCTGGGCTCCACCTGGCGGCCTGGCCCGCTCCCTCCGGTCCTGGGCCCTGTAAACACGCACTCCTCCTGCTTCGGAAGATTCAGGTCAAGCCACATCTCCTTATCCAGGACCCTCCCTGCTCTTGGCTGCAAAGGTGGCTCAAAGGTAAAGCGTGTGCCTGCAATGTCGGAGACCTGGGTTCGAGCCCTGGGTGGGGAGGATCCCTCTCCAGTATGCTTGCCTGGAGAATCCCCAAGGACAGAGGAGCCGGGTGGGCTACAGCCCATGGGGTCGCAAAGAGTCGGACACGACTGAGCGCCTTCTCTTCTCCAGGCCCACCATCCCAGCTCACAACCGAGCCGGCCTCCTCCCCGGGATGGGGTTCTCCCCGCACTCACACCCTGGGGGATCGTCTCCCCACCCCCACACCACCCCGCCAACCCCCCGTCACCGCTCGGCGCGGGCCCCCAGCAAGGTGACGCCCAGGCCCGGACCTTCAACTCCCCGACGCAGGCAGGGAGCCGCCCTCCTACCGCCGGTCTCACTGCCTGACCTTGTGGGTTTCTCTCTTCCAGGCCCCACACTCGCTCCCCCAACCGCTGCAATCTGGAAGAAATTACTCTTTCCAAACAGCCAGACTTCCCCACTTGCAGGAAATTCCAGGCTGGCAGGGGAGGGGCCGGGCTGGGGGGCCGCCCAGTCCATCCAATCCCCCACCCCCTCCGCGGTCCTTCCCCGCGCACATCCAGTCCCGGCCACTTCCCGCCCCCACACTCAGCCTGGCGGGGCCTCCGCTTTCCCGCCGCGGCTTCTTAGTCCTTAAATCCTAGAGGCCAACTTTTTTTTGGGGGGTGGGGGGCAGGGGGGAATAAGGGAGGCCTGGGAGGGGCCTACTGCCTTAACCCTCTCGGCCCCAGACAGGCCGAGCTGGACTGGGCGGGGATTCTGCGCCCCTCTGGGCTCCCATCATGGCCCCCGAGAGGGGCTGACGCTTCCGTTCCCGGTGCAGGTAAAGAGGGGACCCGGTGGCAGGGTCTGGCGGCGGGCGTGGGTCTCAGACTCCCGAGGCTGGTGGAGGGGAGGCCGGCGGGGTGCGGGGACGGGGGGGTGGGTCTGGGACCCCTTCGCGTCCTGAGGCCGAGGAGGAACTGAACTAGGAGCCAGGGCTCCCGGGACCCAGAAGAGAAGGAGGGGGCGCTGCGGGCCGGCCGCCCGGGTCGTGAGTGCCCCTCCAGGTTCCGCCTGACGGGCCCTTCGCAGGTGAGATCCCGCCCGGAGGAAGGCGGAGGGAGGCGCAGGCCTGGGACCAGGAGGCGGAGGCGGGCCCCGAACCGAGAGGAGCGGGTCCCGGGCGGTGCAGGAGCCTGAGAGCGCGCCCGCCCTGTTCGGCGAGGACCGCGAGGTAAGAGGGGCACTGGCGGCCCCGGGGTCCCCAGGCAAGTCCAGAGGGGAGCAGGGAAGACGGCCGAAGGGACGGCGGCCGCTGAAGCCCGGGCCGCAGCCACGTGGCCTCAGGAAGCGCGCTCTGGAGCCCCAAGGGGGTCGGGGTGGGGTCCCGGTACCCGGTCCCCGTGCGCAGTCCGGGTGCCGCCCGCCTGGTGGCCTCTCCCATGGGGCTAAGAGCCAGCCAGGCTGGATGTAGGGCGGGCTGGGGCCCGGAGAGGACGGAGCGGAGCCAGCTGTGCGTCCCCAACCCCCCTGCAGCTGGAGCCTCGGCAGGAAAGGGGGGGCGCGTGGAGGCGGGAGGCGGGGCGCGCGGGTCCAGGGTCGCGGCTCCTGCTCTCTGCCCGGCCGGAGGTCGTCACACACAACAGCCCCTCTGTGCTGAGTTGGCCCCGCCACCGGCTTTTTCCGAGCATGACCTCATTGCATCAGACACACAAGGGAGAGTCGAGCCTTCTATTTCAGGGGACACCGAGGCTCAGGGAAGTGGACGGACTGCTCCCCACACCCCCTCCAGCCCACCCCCGGTCACCCCGAGTTCTCAGAACTAGTCAGGAGAAGCGCTGGCTTTCAGAAACAATTTCTAACTGGTTGTTCTTACCTGGAACGTAAAAAAAGAAAAGCAAACAAACAGGGTCAAGGGTGTAGTTCCCTGGCCTTAATATGAAAGCATTATTATTATTTTCCCACGGGTCTGCACGCCCTACCCTTTGGGGACCGTGAGCAATATAATACCCTTCCAACTCCGGGGTTCATCTGCCTGCGATCCAGATTCAGGCAGTATTTGCTGCTGTGTGACCCGCAGCCAGTCACCTCACCTCTCTGTGCCTCAAGCTGTCACCCACATCTCTAAAAGGAACAGAATAGCAGAGTGCTCACCGCCTAGGGCTGTTACCATGACTACATGAGTTCCTTCCTGTGCCCCAAGCGCTTGGACCCCTGCCTGGCCCAGGATAAGTGCTTGGGAAACAATGTCAGCACCATGAGTACGCTCTAGGACAGCCCCTTGCAAACGGGCATTCCGACTTCCCAGTTTTCAGGGGAGCAAACTGAGGTGTGAGGTTGAGAAAGTTAGTTCCAGGTGTGTTCGGTGTCAGAAAACAAGTTGTTCCCCCCCCCCCCCCCCCCCGCTCCTTCTGGCTGCATGGCTTATGGGATCTTAGTTCCCTGGATCCAGGATGGGACCCGGGTCGTCCACAGTGCAAGCGCAGAGTCCGAATGACTGGACCACCAGGGAATGTCCAGAGACCGGGAGCTGCTAAATGCTGGAAAATGGCAGCGCTATAACCCTGTAGAGTGGCGGGAGGACGGGAGGAGGGTAAGGTGGGGGGTGGGCAGGGAGAGGAAGCAGTGGCGGAGAGCTGTCCAGGGAGGGCCAGTGCCTGGGGCTGCTGTCAGCGGAAGGTGTACCTCTGGGCTCTGGAGGCCCGCAGAGCTGCTTTGTGACCTCGGGCAAGTCACGTACCCTCTCTGAGCATCTGTTTCCTTCCCTGGGACAGGCGAGGATAATCTAAGGTTGGACCACGGAGCACACAGCATTTTCTGTGTACTGGCTACCATGCCAAGACTTTCCCCGGGGCAATATCTCACCAATTCTTTTTGGTTTTTTTTTTGGTTGCACTGATTGGCTAACAGGGTCTTAGTTCCCTAAACAGGGACTGAACCAGTGCCCTTGGCAGTGAAAGCTCATAGTCCTCACCACCAGACTGCCAGGGAATTCCCCCTCACTCCTTGCAAAGAGACTGAACTATCCTATGAGTACCATTCGATTTTTGAGATGAGGAAGTGAGGTCAGAAAGGGTAAGTAATTTGCCCAAAGCAAGCCAGCAATGTGCACAGTCAGATCCAAGTCTGGGCAGCTGGCTTTCTGAGTTCTGCTTTTTTCACCTATATAATTCAAGGCATCTCAATGAGACAGGGGCGCTGCTAGCTCTGAGACAGAATTTTTTTTTTTAACTGTGGATTGAGATTCGTTAATGAACAGAGGTCAGCGTTAAAAAAGACTAACAGGGAATTCCCTGGTGGTCCAGTGGTTAGAACTCTGGGCTCCCACTGCAGGGGGTGTGGGTTTGATGCCTGGCTGGGGAACTAAGGTCCTGCATAGCACGGCCAAAATAATAATGATAATATAGATTATAATTGAAACTATCTAAGTGCCTAGCATGTGCTGAGTAGTCTCATTTAATAAAATGTTGTTTCCCTTATATACTGGGTGGGGTGGGGAAGGAATGGTGATTGTGTTTCAGATTGCAGTACAATATATTTATTCACCTGGGTGGAGGTTAGGAAGTTTTGAGAAGCGATATAGAGGTGGTCAAGCAAGACTGGTTTTTCAAGAGAAATAAATGTAAAGTGTGTGTGTGTGTGTGTTTGAGTAGGGGAGTGGACAGCCCTTAGACCACAGCCATCTATAATTATTTCAAATCCTTTGGCTTTAATTTTCTCCACATTATCGACGGCATTTCTGAGGGTGGTGGTTACTAAAAGGACAATGCTTTACCTGCTTCAGAGGATTTTATCAAATCTAAATTTTGTTCCACACTTTTGTTTGGGGATACCTCTCCCCCCACCCCCACCCCCAGTGCTATCACTATCAACTGACTGGTGATATTACAAATATAGTTTTCTTTGAGTGTTTCTGTGTGCCCTACAAGGAAGGTAGTGTTATTTTACCCATTTTCAGATAGAAAAGAAGCCAAGCGATCACATCATTTATCTCAGTTCTTACAGCTGGCAAAGGTGGGGCTTCAATTCAAATAGAAATACTGTTTATTATTATTATACCAGTGACTGTTAAAACAAAAGTACAAGGTCATCAAAGTCCCTCCCAGAAGTTCCATAAAAACAGCCAAGTTCCAGGGTATGGGCAAAGGTTGGCGGACACATCTATTTACCATCAAGTCCGCATGCAGTCATGTGGCCACAGGGCACCTGGTTTATAGTTCATGAGCTGCCAGATTGGAATTTATACCATTCTTGCCATGTTTTGACATAGGAAATTTTGCATTATTATTATTGTTACTCTTAGCAAGAAGTAAGATATTATGTGGCTTATTTAAAAACCAGATAATTCGATTGTAAAACACTGTAAAACGCTGTGGGCATGGGGGGGATGGTCTCAGGGTTAAAGAGTCCACCTACAAATACAGGAGATGCAGGTTTGATCCCTGGGTGGGGAAGATCCCCTGGAGGAGGAAATGGCAACCCACTCCAGGGTTCTTGCCTGGAGAATCCCATGGACAGAGGAGCCTGGCTGACTGCAGTCCATGGGGTTGTAAAGAGTCGGACACGACAGCGTGCATGTGGACACACACACGCACACACACATACATGTGCAAGTATACAGATTTCCCAGGCCCACCCTAAACCTCCCAAATTAGAATCCTCAGGCCAGCCTACATTATGACTTTTGTGTGTCTCAGGCAAAGCTTTCATGGACATAATTATATATGTTATAATTATATTTTACGACTGCGTTGGTATAAAGACAAACACAATCCAGACATTTTGAAATAAAACACAGCATCCCTCGGCTCAGAAGGGGCTTCTGTACCTTGTGTATTGACAGGGTGGGGGGCTCCCCTTGTCCAAGAGGGTCTCCTCTGCCCTCCTCTGGGCTGTGTGAGCCCGGAAGGTGGCGTCGGAGAAGACCCGCGCCTGAACCCTCCCTGCTCGATCTGGCGGCCAGTGGCCTCAGTTAAAGACCAGAGGTGCAGAAAGGTAATAATAATATATTAAAACTGTGTGCCGGCCTCTAGAAGTGTGGCAGGTGCTGGGCACCGTGTCTCTTCCCCTAAAGGACAGGGGCAGCTCTGTCTTACGGGTGGAGTGATAGTAGCTCAGTCGTGTCCGGCTCTTTGGGACCCCATGGACCTTAGCCCGCCAGGCTCCTCTGTCCACGGAATTCTCCAGGCAAGAATACTGGAGTGGGTTGCCATTCCCTTCTCCAGGTGATCTTCCTGACCCAGGAATCGAACGCGAGTCTGCTGCATTGCAGGCGGATTCTTTACTGTCTGAGCCACCAGGGGAGCCCGGCTTCAAGGCGCAGTTTCTGCGAAGTTTGGGAAGCAGTCTGCAGGCTTGGGGAAGCATGTTTTGCTCGTTCTCTGGAGTATGAAATCCTCAAACGTTAGTTCTAAGTGCAGTTAACATATAGGCAGACCTAAATTTGAGTCTGAGTTTTGAATCAAGCAGCTGCGACCTCGGGCCTCAGTTTCCCCAGCTGTAAAATTGGAGTAACCCCCGTACCTCCCACCACGGTCGTGCTGTGCGTGTCTAGAGCATCCTTTGCACCGCGGGCTAGGTCAGGGCTGGGAACGCGGCAGGCAGGCCTCGGCAGCGGCCCCTGGGCGAGGTCGTGCTAACCCGCCCCTACCCCGCAGATGCCGGTGCTGAAGCAGTTGGGCCCCGCGCAGCCCAAGAAGCGGCCGGAGCGCGGCGCCTTGTCCATCTCCGCGCCGCTCGGCGACTTCCGGCACACGCTGCACGTGGGACGCGGCGGCGACGCCTTATGCCGCAGGCCTCGCCGCCCGCCCTCCGCGCGCCTGCGCCCGCTGACCCGCTGCTGTCCTTCCACCTGGATTTGGGCCCCTCCATGCTGGACGCAGTGCTGGGCGTCATGGACGCGGAGCGCCCGGGCGCCGCTGCGGCCAAGCCCGACGTGGACCCCGGCCCCGGGGCGCAGCACCCCCGGGCCCGCTGCCTCGCCAACGCGGACATCGAGCCGGACGACGTCATCGGCCTGTAGGGACCCCCATTCCCTGCGCTCTTACCGCCCAGCGCCCCACTTCTTCCTACATAAACCGACAAGGTCTGTGTCCCGGGTTTCGTCTGTTCACTTTGCACGTGGGGAGCGGTAACGGGACGGAGTGACGGGGTCCCGGCGCCCCTAAGAGCCAGGTGTGTCGCGGGGAGGTTCTGGTACCCGCCGGGTGGATGAAGGTAGAAACTCGATGATTCTGGTGTAATGGGATGCGGCCCCTTTAAGAGGGCCAGGGGCGGGGCCCCGACTTGATCGCTCCCACCGACAGGTTCTTTCAGCAAAGTGGGCAGCGCGCCGCTGCCAGCCGGACGCGGTCCCGGGCTCGGCCCGACGCCTCCTGGAGGCCGGCCGAGGGCTGTGACCCCGGGAGCTCCGCACTGCCGGTGGATCCCGCCCAGGCGGGCTGCCCTTTACCCCGGGAGCGGCCGCGCAGGAAAAGTGGCTGGGAGGAGGCGTGGACCCCTAGGAAAGGGACGCCCCGAGGCCAACAGGGGTGCCCGGAGCTCGGGCTGAAAAGTTCATGCTGAGCCCGCAGGAGTCCGGTTCTCCCGCGGAGAGCGGGGCCTGGAGGGGCGTGGCAACAGCGCAGATCCTTGGCGTGGAGGGGGGGAGGGGGGGAGCCAGGTTCTCCGGGGCGCAAGAGTGCCGAGCGGAGCTTGCTAACCCTAGGGGAGCCGAGCGGCGCTGGCTATGCGCCGGGAGAGGCGGGGCCACACGCGGTAGGGGCGGGGCCACAACAGAACCCTACCGCCCGCAGGTGTCGGGCTTCCCCGGGCTCGGCGCAGGGCGGGCCCGCGCGCGGGGTGCTTTCCAGGTCGGGCCGGGGCCGAAGTCGCGCCCGTGACGTCACGGCGGGCCGGGTAGGGCTGACCCCGCGAGGAGCGGCCCGTGCCCGGCGAACGCGCCCGCCGTACGCTACGCCTATGGAAGCGGCCGGAGGGCCGGAGCCGCCCGCGGGGGTCCTGGTCGCGGAACCCGCGCCCCCGCCGGCCTGCCGCTTCTTCCTGGAGGGCCGCTGCCGCTTCGGCGCCCGCTGCCGCCAGCCGCACCCCGGGGCGCCGGCGCCGCCGCAGCCTAGAAGCGAGGACGAAGAACAGGCCAAGGCCAAGAAGCCGCCGCTGCGCACGGCTGAGGCCGTCATCCAGCGCATCCGCTGGGACCCGCGCCTCGACCCGGCCGACTTCTCCGTGGGCTACGTGGACCGCTTCCTGGGCGTGCGCGAGGAGCCCTTCCTTTCCTTCTGCTGGGACGAGCCGCTAGCAGCGCTCGGGCCGGGCGTTCTGGCCGTGCCGCAGCACCGGGTGCGCTACTTCCGCTTCCGCGGCCGCCTGGTTTGGGACCGCGCCTCGCGCACCGACCTCGTCTTTGGCTCCGGCTTGGCGGCAGGCCGTGGGCCCACCATCCTGGACGCGCTCGACGGCGAGGACCCGCACGAAGCCGGAGGTGAGAGCGACGGCGAGGACGCGCGCCGACACGGGGACGCGCACGACGGCGGGGACGCGCACGGAGTTGGAGGTGAGAGCGAGGGCGTGGACGTGCACCGGCCCGGGGACGTGCACGACGGCGAAGATGCCAACTCAGTCGGAGATACGCTCGGCGGTGAGGATACGGACGGGACCGGAGGCGCACTGGACGGCGCAGCTGCCACCCGCCTTGGCACCGATGCGGGGGGGCCCGTACAGCCAGCCCAGACGCGACTCCGGGCAGCCTTGGCCTCGGACGGGGGAAGCCCCGAAGCTGGGTGCCTGACGCTGGCAGGCGCATTAGCGAGGACTCAGGAGCGGGAGTCGGCGGACCCTGGAGGCCAAGCTTCCCCGTGGATGGCGCCAAGAAGGGCGCTGCAGCCAGCTGCCACCGCCGCCAGGGCCGTGGAGACCCGGGGAGGGAAGCCCTCGGAAGACCTCTCTGAGATGGAAACGGAGTGGGGTCCCGGGGTCTGGCCTGTGGACCGAGGAGTGGCCGGGGCCGTGGGCCCTCGCCACCCCCGCCCCACGCACTTTGTGGCGCTCATGGTTACGGAACCAGAGCTGCGGGCCCAGGTGGCCAAGGTCCAGGAAGACCTGGTACGAGATGCACCAGCTTGCGCGGCCTTCACGGTGCCGGCTGAGGCCCTGCACCTGACCCTGGCCCTGCTGAGGCTGGCGGGCCCCGGGGAGGCAGCGGCCGCTGTCACTGCGCTCAGACACGCGCTCTCGGACCCCGGGCTTGAGATCCCTCTGAGGCTGAGGTTCGGTCGCCTGGTGCGCCTGGGCTCCCACGTGCTCTGCGCTCCCCCGTCCCCACCACTGGAGAACCTGGCCCAGAGGCTGAGCCAGAGGCTGGAGGCCGAGGGGTTGAGAGTGCTGCAGCCCCTTGGGGGGATACGCCCCCACCTCACCCTGGCCAAGGTGCCCCAGGGCGCCCAAGTCTGCCTCCCCGAGGTCAGCCTGCGGCAGGAGCTGGGGAGCCAGCCCCTGGGGACACTGTGGCTGTGCCGCGTGGGCAGGGCCGGGGCCACCTACCAGGCCGTGGTCGAGCTCCCCCTGGGAGGTCAACCCCAAAAATAAGGGCCCGGCCCCAGAAAAAGTCACAACAGGCACGCGGCTTCTCTCTCTCTCTCTCTTTAATTTTGGTTTCTCTCAAGCTTCCAAGTGGTGCTCAGCGCTCCAAGGAAAGAATGAAGGAAGGAAAGGGGGGGAGGGGAGAGGGAGGCAGAGGAGGACATCTGCAAGAGAAGCAGCCTGACAGTCCAGCTGTTCGCAACTCATCACGCCCTCCAGTTACATGGCAGAAGAGGGAGGGAGACGGAAAAGAAAAGGGGAGGAAGAAAAATAACTTAAATAAACACACACAAAAAGAAAAGAGAAGGAAACATGACGTGAGCTGGTGATCCATGAGGCGGGGAGGGAGGGTAACCGCTTTACCTGTGCTGAACCGAGGGAAGAGTGCGAGGAGGGGGAGGACGGGGCAGGGGAGACACGGGGGAGGGGGACACGGAGACAACTCAATACAACTGCAGACGAGGCGGCCCGGCCGGCGAGGTCCCGCGGTGGCCTCCGGAGTCCTCAGTGCGGCGGCGGCGGCTTCTTCTGGGCTCGGGGGCCGAGGGCAGGGCACAGTCTCTACGAGGCTCCCCTCGCCCCAAAAACTGAGGCCCCGGAGGGCTGGCAACAAGAGTCTGTGGAGCGGCGAGCGGGCGGCGGGAGGCGGGCGTGCCCCCGACGTGGGCGGGCGCGGGCGGAGCGGCCTGTCTTCTTGCCCTGCCCCCCGGCATGGGACGGGCCAGGGTGCTGGGTTGGTACCGGAGTACGAGCTCGAGAGAGAGAGAGAAAAAACACTGAGACAGCATTAGTGGAGGGCCAGACGGACAGACCAGCCTACAGACCATGCCCCCGGCCCTCCACTGCCCACCCCCTCCTTCCCCAGCCCGACCCTCTGAGGCCAAAAATAAAAACGTAGAAAAATCTCTGTACAGACTCCCCGGTGGGAAAACGGGGGCAGGGACGAGGGCTCTTCCTGGAGCCCTCTCCCCACGAATTAATTTACACCCCAAGTCCATGGCTCAAAGACAAGATCTGCAGCCCGGCCCCCCGCCCCCGCGGCGCTGGTGCTCAGAAGGCCGGCAGCTGCGCCAAGCTGAGGCGGCAGTCGATGCTGGAGTTGTCCGGGCCCGTGTAGGCCAGGCCCAGGGGCTCCAAGAAGGCCCGGCAGGCGGCCTCGCCCTCGAAGGCCAGCTCGGCCTGCAGGTAGGAGATGGGCAGCGCTGGGCGGAAGCTACGGAGACAAGAGGAGAAGGTGATGAGGTGGCGGTGGAGGTGGGAGGGCCCCACGGGCAGGGAGGGCGCGCCCCCGTGCAGGCGCCCGAGAGGCTTCCTCAGCGCGTTACCTGCCAGCCCCGCTCCCACCCGCAGCCTCCCCACCTCAGCGGCTCAGGGGGGCCCGGGGTGGGGTCGGGGCCCCAGCCCCGGCTGCGCCCCCCCTCGCCCTCACTTACCTGAGCGGGGGACAGGAGGAGGGGGTGGGAGGGAAGGGCCAGCTGGCTCCTCTGCTGGCTGGGGGCCTGCGCAGACCCTCACAAGAGGGCCCACCGCGGCCGGGGGGAGGGCGGGGGGTGGCTGCTGACGCTATCTGGGGACCACCCCTCCTGCTTGCCTCACCCTGGTCAGAGAAGACTGGGCCTGTGCGGGCCAGCAGCCCTGTGCGTGCGCCCTCTCAGCAGCGGGCCCTCTCAGCAGCGGGCCCTCCCAGTTGAACGCACCGCGGAGCACGGCTCCAGGGCACGGCCACTGAGGGCGCACTGGTGGGGACACGGGAGCCCTCCTGCCTGGCCGTCTGCGGGACTGGCCCTGGGACGGGGGGCGGTCTCTGCCAAAGACGCGGCCCCCTTCAGACACAGGCCCCTCGGTGCTCCGGGCGGGCAGCAGCCACGCCCTGCCCCCTCTGCAGAGTCCGCCCCGCTGCCTGTCTTTCCGTGGCCCCACCCGTCACCGCGCCTGACCCACACTGCAGCCCACAAGGAGCCTCCTAACCTTCAGCGGGTGTCCGTCCCCACCCAGGCCGCGCCCCGGGACTCCCAAGGCCCCGGGACCTCTAAGCAGGCTTGGCAGCCTGTCACCTCAGGAGGTGGCCCTGCCGGGGGTGATCTGGGCACCGCGGGACGCTCAGCGCATCGCCGGCCTCCAGCCCTAGAAGCCAGGGAACCCCGGCTATGACAAAAGAAGAGGTGTCCTGAGCCCACCTGGGGCGCCTCCCTCCTGACAGATGCGAGCACACCGTCACCCAGGGCAGAGAGCATCCTCTGGGGGCCGTCAGGCCTTGCTTTCCCGTGACACCCGGCCCTACACTCATCTTAGCCCTCACGAGGGCGCGAGGCCCAGTCCCTAAGCCCACAGGCACCGAGGGCGGGGCCGGCTCTGGGGGCTGCCCCCCGGGGGCGCTCAGCCTCAGGAGGGCCAGGGAGGTGGGAGGCCTCGGAGAAAGGGGGCCTGGACAAGGGGTCGATGCGGGGGGTGCAGGCTGCCTAGAGCAGAGAGCGGCAGGAGGGAAGGGGACGGCTGTGCAGAGGGGGCGGGTCCAGACGAGGGCGGAGCGCACAGGTGGGGGAGGAGACAGGGTGGCCGGCCTGGGCGTGGCCTGAGGCCGGGGTGGGACAAAGGGGCGGAGGGGCGGAGGGGCGGAGGGCCAGGGCGGAGATCAGCTTTACATACGTTTTGATCATTGCCTTGAGCGCAGCCTTGCGCTCCCGGTCTGCAAACTTGTCCACGAGGTAGCCGGACATGCAGGGCGCATGAGCGTAGAGCCGGAAGAAGCGGTGGTAGTTGCCCAGAGCCCAGGCGGCCCTGAGCGCCAGCGCGTGGGCCACGCAAGGGTCCGCCTTCAACTCCCGGGTCAGGTACGCCAGCTCCGTGGTGATGTCTGCGGCCAGAGACACGGGGTCAGGGGGTGGGGGGCCACGTCAGGGGCCCGGGGCCGCGGTCCCGCGGGGCCGAGCCTCACCTCCCGAGTTCTTAGTGAAGATGTAATAGAGGATGCGGTAGGCCGTGAACTCGCCCACGTTGCCCGGCAGGTTCTCGGCGTACAGTGACTTGAGCTGCGTCTGGCACTGGTTGAACTCTTCGTGGTCCGCCTGGAGGGCAGGGCGTGAGGGGCGGAGTGAGGCCCGCGCCGGAAGCCTGGGGCAGGGGCAGCTGGAAGCCTGGGGTGGGGGGCCCGCGCCTCACCTTCTCCAGGGCAATGCGCGCATGGGTCTCGTACACCTCCACCGTGAACTCCGTGCGCACACCCTGCACCTGGCGGGGAGGCAGCGCACGTCACAGCAGAGCCGCATCACGCATCGGCCGCTCCCCGGCCCCCCCGCCACCCCCCGGCCCCCGCCTCACCGTGAGGTCCTGCCGGATGGACTTCATCTGTTCGCAGGCAAAGGCGTAGTCCTGCTTCTCCTTCCAGTGGGACTTGACCATGCACAGCGACTTCTTCAGAACCTGGGACAGGTGAAGTAAGGCTCAGGGTGACCTGGGCAGGACCAGCCGGAAGGGCTAAAACCGGCCGGGGGCCCACGGACTTGAGTCCCAAAGTGGGGGCTCCAACATAGACCCTCAGTGACTGCCTGTCAACATTAGAAACGAGGACCCCAAACGGTAAGAGCGCTCCCAGCCTCAGCCTCCCGCACCCGGGCGCCCTGGGAGGGCCTCGGGGATGCACTAGGTCTCACAGGCACCGTCCTGGGACACGGGCCGCCGCCGCCTCAGCAGGGACGGAGGCTCGGGGCCGGCCCCGCCTCCCGGACCTGTCTCTCGAATGCAAGCTCTGGGTCGGCACCCCCGAGTGCGCCAGCCCCTGCCCATCGCCGCCCCTCCCCGGCCCTGCCTCCCCCACGCCGGGCACGCACCGGCACCGGGCGCACGGTGGACGGGTCGGGAGCACAGGTGAGGCGCAGGTAGTGCTTGGTGACGTCCAGGCAGGTGCCCACGATCTGCAGCTCCTGCCAGTCGGGGTCGGCCGCGCCGCCCTCCAGGCTGCCTACCTGCAGCACCAGGGGCTCCAGGCGCAGGCGGCGCGAGTGTCCGTGCTGGAAGCGCGCCGCCCGCTTCTGTTTCTTCAGCTCGCGCTCCGGCTCCTCGCACTCCAGGGCCGCCAGCTTCTTGCGGCTGCGCTTGGTGGGCCCCAGGTCGTGCCTGGAGGAGGCGGTGGGGGGCGTGAGGGGGCGTGGTACTGCCCTCTCCAACGCTCCTGAGACACAGCCCTCTTCCTTCCAGGACCCCCGAACCGGCCCCTCCCGCTGTCAGCCCAAAGCTCACCTCTTGCCCCGCTGTGCCCGGCCCCGGCCCCGGTCCATGTGGGCCCCCCGGCCTCCCCGGCCCTTCGGGGGTGGGTTCCTGCGGCCCACAGGGTGACACTCGTTGCCTGAGCAGGAACTCTCGGAATCCGAGTGCGAGTCGCTGTCGGAGGGAGCGGCGGGAAGGTGAGGCCTGGCCCGGCCCCCGCCCCCCCCTCCCACCCCCCGCCCGCCTGGGGATCCCCGCACCTGCGGCGGAAGTGGCGGGTGGGGGAGCGGGAGGAGGAGCGGGAGCGGGAGTCGGTGCTGGAGGAGGAGCTGTGGTCCTTCATGAAGACGTTGCGGTTGCCGAACTTGGCGAAGCTGCTGCCCCGGGCTCGGCCGGCACCTCCAGCCCCCGGTGTCCCTCGCTGGGACTGGGCACCCCCACCCCTGGTCGCGGAGGCTGCCCCCCGGGGAGGGTGGAGGGTGCTGGGCGCCTCCCACCGCTTCTTCTTTGGGCTCTCGGCCACAGGCTCCCGAGTCAGCCTGAGGACACAGCAGAGCAGAGCGTCACAGCCTGGCACCCCCCGCCCCGGAGATGCGCCCAGGAGAGGCACCTCCCCAGGCATCAGACGCGGCTAACGCGGTGCAGAAAGGGGAGGTACTCCGAGCTGCTGAATAACACGTCCCCCAGCTCGCACCCTCAGGGATTCCGGCCCCAGCCAACTGCCCCTCCGGGACCCAACCCTCCTGCCCACCTCTCTGTGGGGCTCCCTTCAGCCCCAGGCCCCCTGTGTCTCCCCCCCCACCCCCCGACTCACCCGGGCAGGGGCTCGCGGCTCCAGTCGATGGTGTAGGCCGAGCCGTCCTGTAGCCGCGCTTGCAGCACCTCCTTGAGCAGCTTCTCAGTGCGGTCCTTGTCCTCCTCCGACTCGCAGGCCGTGAAGCAGCGCTCCACGTACTCCTTCATGTCCTGTGGCCAGTCGTCCGGCTTCCCAGACAGGTTCCCCCTGGCGGAGGGCGGGTATGCACAGCCGGTTGGGGAGCAGCCCCCACACCTGGGCCAGGACCTCGTCAGCCCCCCTCGTAACACCCAGGGAGCCCACGGGAGGGAGGGAGCACCGTCTACTTTCTCAAGGACGGGGCGGGTGGTCACCTGTGGTTTTGGGCTTTCTCGGGGTTGGGCTGGGGGCCGAAGCCGCTGTGCTGGCCCTCTGTGGTGGAGCTGAAGTTCTGGTTAGTGACGGGAAAGGGCCGTTTCTGGATGTTGAACTTGAGTCCCCCAGTCCCAGGGGCTGCTGTGAGGGCAGGAAAAGCTGGGGTCAGCTGGCCCCGCCCCTCGGAGCCGGGCACCTGAGCTCGGGAATCCCGCCCCTTTCCCGAGCAGCCACGCCCACAGCCTGGGCGGTCCCAACAGCAGAAGTGAGGTCAGAGCGGCCACGTGCCTCTCAACAGTGAGGACCCGGCCCTGTGTGCCCCCCCCGCCCCCCCTCCCCACCCCAGGCTGCTTGCCCAAGGCTCTGAGCTGCCCGCATTTACAACACTGCAGTCTCCTCTCTCTGAGAGCTGCCCCGATGGCAGGTGACCCTAAACACATTAATGCTCTCTGTTCCTTTCTCAAGGTGGGTGGCAGACGGAAGTCCATTCGTTTTACTTTTTAAAAAAATTACCTTTTACATATTTTAAAAATATGTTACATCTTTCTATGTCGTTCACGTTAAAAATAAAGAATATGATGATTGCTGTTCCAGGTACCACATGTTTCCAGAAAGGAATAACGGGGTTTAAAATCTTTTCAGCAAGACTATTCCACATGAAGTAATCCTAAGTCCTGCTTCCCAGTCTACCAGCTCGACTTCAGCGAGCGTGGATGGCAGAAACCGTCCCCACCCCGGGCAGCACCTCCTCCAGCGGTGACTGCCTGGGCACAGGTCACATGCTGTCAAGATGCACTCGTGGTGCACACGCGTAGGAGCCGTCCCACCAGACGGAAACCCAGGCCCACCCACCACCCCAGCCCGGGCTCCGCCTCCCTCCCTCCACACCTAGCCTGGACGGCCCCTGGACGGTACCTGGCTCAGAGGCCCTTGGTGCTGCGGCGCGGCTGAGCCATAGGAGCTGGCCATGCTGTACTGGGAGGGGGAGCCGTAGCTCTGGTACACGCTCTGCCGGGGGAAGGAGGGAAGGGGTCAGCCACAGGCCCTCTCCTTCCAGGGAGGGGGGCCTGGCCCTGGCCCTGCTCTCCCCCAGCCCTCAGCGGCAATCTGCCACTGACCTGTCACCCTTCCCCTCTACCTCATAAATGCACCAGACTGACTCCTGCTACAGGTTAGGAGGTAAGATGAAAACCTCCCTCTGTCCCATGTTTCACCGTGTTCAACAGCTACCTACTGAGCGCCACCCCATCTAAACACTACAACAGAACCACCATACACACAGAAACCCGGTGCCGATGAAGTCAGCTGCAGACACGTAACACTCCCCCCAGTAAGCGAAGAAAGGAGGCCAAGCGGAGAAGCCGAGTGGCAGGCAGGGTGGGCGGCGGGCCTGCTGCTCTAAGGAGGCCTGTTCTGGGCAGCCCTCCGCAAGGAGCGTAGGGACAAGGAAGACGGCAGGGAGTGGGGTGCGCAGAGATGGAGGAGGCTCTGTGGTAATACGAGCACTGTTTGGGGGGGGGGGCGCGGATGGCCCCGAGCCAGGGGAGGGTCCTGCCGCTGTCAGCCCTGCCGTGGTCAGCCCACCAGCTGCCCGGAGCCCGCCCCCAGCCGGGCACTCACCACCGGGTAGTAGTAGCTGTAGGGGTAGGTGTAGTTGTACTGCTGGTACCACTGGTAGTACTGCTGCTGCTGCAGGGCCGAGGCCTCTGCCTGCGACACATACTGTGGGCAGAGGGTGGCGGGCTGAGGGCCGCAGGCGGGAGCCCCATTTCCCGGGAGTCAACTGCTCAGGGACGGAGCCAGGAGAGCCACCCCCTCCGCCATCCCACCCAGGCCCCTCTCCCTCCTCAGGCTGGCCCTAGACTCCTCGAGGAGACAGACCGAGCATCCCCACTCAAGGGCTCCGGGAGCATCCTCAGAGCGCCCCGCCCTGGTGATCCCAGAGGCCACCGCTGTGCTCCTGCCCCGCTCAGGGTTCCCGGTCCCGCGGGGCCTTCTCTCACCTGTGCACTGGCCACAGGCCCATTGCTGCTGGCCTTGGCGGAGCTGCCGGCGGCTCCCGCTTTGCTGATGCTGGCCAGGGCCTGGCGGGCCTTCTCCCACTCCGGGTTCTCGTGCATGGGGGTCTCCATGCCGCTCTCTCTGCCCACCCCGGCCGCCATGCTGTACTGAGAGGACCTGCAGGAAGAACACGTGGAGTCGGCCCGGCCCCGCCACGGACACTGGGCGGGGTGGAGTCGGCCCCGCCCCCACCACGGACACTGGGCGGGGTGGGGGCCAGCAAACGCAGGGCTGGGGTCCCACAGCCTCAGTCTACGCTGAGGTGTGCTGGCAGCGCCTGCTCACAGCTCTCCGTGAACCACGAAGGCCACTGCCTACCTAAGGTGCTTCACCAGACGCCCGCTACATACAGCTGTTAACAGGCAAACAAAACGATGCCCAGGGTCCACAGAACTTAAGACCTGGGGCCAAGCAGGCCTCAATGTTTTAGGAATCCACAGGCTGTGTCTGATACCACCTCAGTCAGAAAGTTAATCACCACACTGTTTTGGAAAAACTAAGGAACAAAAAAAGTAATAAACTGAGTATGAAGTGTTAGAGGCTGCCCCTTTAATCACAGCTGATGGACCGAGTCATCAGTGTTTTGTGACTCAAGCACTGTACTGTGAACGATGGAAGCTCACACAAGTGCCTCACCCCCAGCCCAAGCACAGGGACCACAGCATCATGCCCCCCATGCTGCGTGAGGGCCCACCCAGAGCCCAACACTGGGCCTTGCTTCCTCTCACCGCCCCCCACGCCCATGCCATCCCTCCAGGCCCACTGACCAATCTGTGCTGCGCTGATCACCCACGTTGGCCGCCATCTGCACCCTGGGGTGTAAGGGGTGGACCTCGGGAGCCAGAATGCTTTTTCACTGTCTGTAAGGCAAAAAACGAATTAGGGAGAATCAAGAAGGAGCAAGAAACATGTCACAAACCAGTAAAGAGAAGCAGATGACTCACAAGAAGCCAGAGAAGGAAGTAGCCAGTGGGGTAAACAGCCTGAAGAGAATAAATAAATGGGCTACAGTCCCAGGGAAAGACCCTGGCCACCCCCTGCAGTGCTCTAGATGAAACTGAAGGATCTGAAAGCAAAAAAGCTGAAAGAAACTTCCCAAAGAGAAAAAGAAGGATCTGAAACCCAAATGAAGAAAGGGAAAGGTTCAAGGGAAACCATAAGACAGATTGGAGGAGGGTCGGAGGGCGGGTGGGGGGACCTCAGGCAAGGGGTACGGAAGAAGCGCTAATGAACAAGGTCTGAGTGAAGCTTAAGGCTGGGAAAGACTTCTGAAAAAAAGCCTGTAAAGAGGGACGTGTTTGAGGGAGTCTTGAGAGAACAGGAGAAAACACTGGAGAACGGAGAAACCTGGAAGGAAATGGGGATTTCCGCAAGTTACTCCTGGAGCCAGAAGAAGGCAAAGAGAAGAGCCCTGAAGTAAAGAAATGAGTTCTTAGAAAACTCTTAAAGAGACTAATTTCCGGAAGGTCCCCTAAGGACAGAGAAAACTGTTACACGGGAGGTTACTAGAAACAGCAGTAGGTTGGGAGAAGAGCCATCAAATCCTCTTGGCTGGGGGTCTGGACAGAAAGTTTTGCGGGTGCCCGAAAAGACCCCTAACATTGTTAGGAACTTAAGAGTGGGAGGGAGAGGACTGCAAGAAAGTGAAGGAGCGCCCTGGGGGCGAAGACTGGGTGGGAGGGACCCAGACTCGAGGGGATAACTGAGAAGGATGGGTGTGCCCCAAAGCAGGTTCCGCTGGGGAATCCGGAAGTCCTACGAGTGGGGTGACAGGAACAGGAGTCTGGAGCCGGGAAAAGTCCTAAAGAAGAAAGGGTCTCAGAGAAGAGAAGGAACGGGGGTGAGCGAAAGGGTGGGGGGCGCGGAGGTCAGCGGTCCCCAGAGGTTGGGGAGGGTTGAGGGGGACCCCAAGACAGGAAGACTTAGGGTAAGGTCTGGTGCAACTCGGGAGGGAGGTTTCCGGGCAGGTCTGAAAGGAAGGAAGGAGACGCGGATGCGAGTGGGGCACCTGGCCGTCCCACGAGCCCAGGGAAAGCAAACGAGGACGCCGGGCGGAAGAACAGCCAGCCCGGATCCCGATCCCAGCCATCGGTCCCGGAGCCACCGCCCCGGCCGCGCCGCGCCTGCGCACCACGTCCCGGAGAGCGCGGCGAGGAAAGAGCAAGGGGGCCCGTCGCCCGGGGCAACGTGGTCCTCCGGTGGAATCGCCGGGTCAATGGGAGTCGAAGGAGTGCTCGGAGCCCAGGAATTCCGAGCGCGGGGGCGGGGAGCGGCGCCCAAGGGCGCAGGCGCGAGGGTGCGCGGCCGTCCGCCCCACTCCCCACGCGCAGGCGCACTGGTCCGCGCCCCCGCCACACCCTGTCGTCGCTCGCGCTCGGCGTCCGTTGGTGCGACGGCCGCCAAGGCCTTGGGGGCCGCGGGGCGGAAGGCCACAAGGAAACGCCGTCTCCGCCCGCCCGCCCGGCCGCCCCCACTCGGCACACCCACCTCGGCCGTACGACCCCGGGACTCATCAGCGGCGGCTCCAGGCGACGGCAACAGGGCTCCGCGACTGCCCTCGACCTGGCTGGCTCCTGTCTTTAAGTTTCGACGTCCGGACCGCGGCGTCTTGACGTCACGCTGATGCTTCGCCCCGCCTCCCGTCACCGCGGGGAGCCAATAGACGCCGCGAACTTGGTTAGAACCTGCCCTCTGTGACGCAACCACGGGGAGGGGGCAAGCGTTTTAAGACCAGGCGGAAGCAGGACTGTGGACGGTGGCCCTGAGGGGACACGCTCGGTAGAGGGCTCGGGCCCCGCGCCCTCCCGTGCATCCTCGTTTTGGCCCAGCTGGTGGCAGCCATTACTAGTTCTATGTGTAAATCGGTGTGCTGAGTAGTTCTGAGAGTCCTTACCGCGCGGTGATGTGGGAGATGGACCCAAAGAAGGCCTGAGAACAGCCTCCGGCCGGAAAGAGAAACTTCCTAGGAAATGAAACTGGAAGGGTGCACCCGGCCGAGGCTACGAAGTGTGCAAACACAGGGGCGGGAAGCAGGCGTAGCTTGGGGATTGCGGCGGTGGCTCTGGTGGGACAGAAGTGAGGGGTCCTGGCGTCAAGAAAAGTCTGTAGGGAGGGGGGATCGGGATGGGGAATACATGTAAATCCATGGCTGATTCATGTCTGTGTATGACAAAAACCACTGCAATGTTGTAATTAGCCTCCAACTAATAAAAATAAATGGAAAAAAAAAGAAAGGTCTGTAGATGTTTGCAGGTAGCGGGTCCTGAAAGGCCATCCTTGTCCGGCTGAAGAATTGGGACCCTTCCGTTTAAAGAGGGCTTTCCCGGTGGCGCTGCTGGTAAAGAACCTGCCTGCCAATGCAGGAGACACAAGAGACACAGGTTTGATTCCTGGGTCAGGGAAGATACCCTGGAGGAAGGCATGGTAATCCACTCCAGTATTGCCTGGAGAATCCCATGGACAGAGGACGCCAGAGAGCTGCAGTCCATGGTAGACTGTTTCAAACAGTCGGACACGACTGAAACGACTTGACACACACGCACAATTTTAAAAAGGCTGTCTAGATTCCTTGCAAGTAATCTTTTCAGTAATCCTGTTCCCACCCACGATTCTGAATGATAGAATTATCCACTGCAGTTCACGGACGGGTCACTGTAGTTGCAGTAAGTGGTATTTACGAAGCAGCGATTTATTTCCCATTTTCTATTCTTAAAAACTTTTCTGTTGATAATTGCGTGTCATTTTGTTAGTATTAGCACAGTTGATCTTTTTTTTTATCCCTTCAGTTTTTAAATTAAACTTTTCGTTTTAGAGCAATTTTAGGCTTACAATAAATGTTGCAAAGATAATTCACAGTCCTGCCTACCCTACAGTTTCCCTGCAATGCTGTAGTATGTTAAAACTAAGATACCAACGTTGGCACAATATTGTTAACTGCAGACTTTGTTTGAATTTCACCACTTTGCCCAGAAAATGAAAATAGATTTAACTTTTGTTAAAGTTAGACCAAAATGGTTTTTTTCCTTGATTAGGACTGCATCCTGTAGGCTCCTCTGTCCATGGAATTCTCCAGGCACAAATACCAGAGTGAGTAGCCATTCCCATCTCCAGGGGGGATCAAACCTGGGTCTCCTGCATTACAGGGAGTCTCTTAACCATCTGAGCCACCAGGCTTCCCAGTTAATTATGACTCCCAGGAAATCAAGCAGAGTGAATCTCAGAGTACTCTGTGAATGTCCGACACACAGACTGAGAGGCACTAGAGGGCAGCATTTGAGAGCAAAGCGGCTAGAAGAGCCTCCAGGCCAACCCCTCAACAGGGCACCAAACGGCTCGCAGTCATGAGAGTGACCTGCGGGTGGGCCCTGGTGTCCCTCTTTGGAAACCATGGTTCATTTCTCTTTCCCAGCTTCAGGCCCACACGTCAAGGGCTTTCTTGACCATTCCTTGCAGTGTACAAGATGGAAATGATTAGCAAGCATTGAGCAGTCCCCCCATGGCAGGCCCCACATTGGGCATCTGGTGCTCTGCGTCAACAGGCCTTGACCTGAAACCCTTCGGGCTTTTTTCGAGAGAACATTTGGTTTATTTTCCACAGAGGACATGACCCTCAGTACCCTGCTCAGCATCAGGAGTAACCCCATCAGTGTTCCCACAGAGACATAGATGGACATTCACACCAGACAGGCAACTTCTTGTTTAGTTGCTCAGTTGTGTCCAACTCTTTTGTGACCCCATGGACTGTATAGTCCAGGCTCCTCTGTCCATGGGATTCTCCAGGCAAGAATACTGGAGCAGGTTGCTATGCCCTTCTCCAGGGGATCTTCCTGACACAGGGATCAAACCCAGGTCTCCTGCACTGCAGGCAGATTCTTTACCACTGAGCCACCGGAGACGTCCAAAGTTTCAAAGTGCACTTCCTAATCATCAGGGTTTGAATGCCTTTTAGTCTGTCCCCTGGTGTTTGGATTTTCATTTCATTGAATGGTCTTCTCCTTTGCTTATTTTTATATTGGGTGGTCTTTTTCTTGATCTGTGGATGTAACTTTGCAGCTTATATGTATGTATTAAGAATTATCTATTTCACTGTTGTTGTTTCAATTTTCCCCCTGGATTTTGTGGTATTTTTCTCATTCCACAATTTGTCAAATAAGTTACTTTTTCATTTCTGTCTTCAGGATATCTCACTGAAAGCCCTCGCCCTCCAACCAAGAAATACAAGAGTCTCCTCCTTTTTTCTTGAAATACTTCCGTCCCCTTGTGCTGTGCTGTGCTTAGTCGCTCAGTCGTGCCTGACTCTGCAACCCCATGGACTGTAGCCCACCAGGCTCCTCTGTCCATGCGATTCTCCAGGCAAGAATATTGGAGTGGGTTGCCATGCCCTCCTCCAGGGGATCTTCCAGATCCAAGGATGGAACTCAGGTCTCCCGCACTGCAGGCAGATTCTTCACCATCTGAGCCACCAGGGAAGCCCCTTACTCGTCTGCATTTGGATTTTTTTTGCCCATATTGTATGCAGGCTGTTTTCTTCCAGATGGAAAGCTAATCATATCAGCATTCCTTTGAAACCAGTATTTTTGCCCTGACTTGAAATCTGTCTTCTGTCATACACACACACACTCTGAGATCTATTTCTAGACTGTCTTCTGTTCCAGGGATCTGCGTCTCTTCCTGTGTCAGGACATGTGTGCTGCTTTAGATCGGGGGCCAGGGGAGGGTTTTTTTTTTTTTTTTTTTGTAAAGAAAGTGGTGCAGCATCGGGATGGGAGCAGAAACACCTGGGGGCCAGGAAGCCAGGTGGGAGCAGAGGTGATGGGCTCTGCCCACCCCCACCCCCAACTGTGAGGCTAGATCAGGGAGAAATAAGGACCCAGCTGCTTGTAAAATAAAGTCTTCCCTTTTATTTCAAATCAGCCCATTCCCAAGTGGGGTGCTGCAAGTGGAGAGCAGGGGCCCTAAGTCCTCTGGGGTGTGGCGGGGGGCCGGAGGGCACTCTCACCCCTGGGGTGTGGCGAGGGGCCGGAGGGCACTCTCACCCCTGGGGTGTGGCAGGGGGCCGGAGGGCACTCTCACCCCTTCAGGGATGAGGAGTGACGGGGCTCGCTTTCTCCCCTCTCCCCACCAAGCCCCCAGGCCCTGGCCTGCCCCCTGGGCTTACTTCCAGGGTTAAGGACACAGAGAGGGGCAGTGCAGGGAGGCAGTCCTGTTTAAGGTGTCCGTGGCCAGGGCATTGTTAGTGGTGGGAGCCCAGTGAGGCTGGGTTAGTGGGGTCTTCTCCGGCAGCCGGGGAAGGAACTGCAGAGAGAAGCAAAACGGACCAGATGCAGGTGGGAGGGAGGGAAGGAATGAGGGAAGGAGGTGCGGTCAGGGGCTGGAGGCTGGTGTCAGCCTAGACGCTCACCAGAAACGGAGACCAGGCTCCAGTCTGGACTGGAGAAAGGGCTCAGATTGATGACTGCCACTGCACGAAGCGCTTGGATTCCTGCCAGGGAGACGTGGGCAGGGGAGGGCATGACTAGGGAACTGGGCTTGGCGATGTGGGCCCTCAGACCAGGACTTCAGGCCCCCAGCCCCTGCTCCCTCACACCCAGAGGTCCGGGCCCCCAGCCCCTCCTCCCTCGGGCCCGGGAGTCCGGTACCTGAGGGTTGAAAGGGTCATCATCGTCTGTGTCCTCGTAGTCGTCACTGGGGTGCAACAAGGGGAGTAGCAGAGAAGCAGGAAGGGGGACCCGTGAGGGCGTGGTCCCCAGCAGTGGCTCCATGGTGCTCCCCATCCCCTCCCCCAGGACCTCAGCCCCCTCCCCCTGACCTGGGCGGGAAGAGGGCCCAGGCGCGGGGCAGGCTGCAGAGGATGGTGGCCAGGGCCCCGGCAGACAGGAGGGAGAAGAGCAGCAGAAAGAGCAGTCCTTCCAGGGTGTCTTCACACAGGCCGCGCAGGGCTGCGCCATAGTCCTGGGACGGGAGAGATGGGAGGGGTCAGCGGGCAGTGCCCACGGCCCGGGCCATCCACCCGGCTGTGCCTCACTGAGAACACCCCTCAGCCTCTCTCTGCCACAGTTTCCCTCTCCTGTCACGGGAAGCGCTCAGCGCACAGTAGGTGCTGTGGTCACTGTCGTTTATCACACCTGCAGGCATGACCGTAGTCATGACTTCCTGTCCATCACTGAGAACCCACCGCCCCACGCCCAGCCGTTGCCACAGCTTGGCCCTGATTGAGTGCCAGGCTTCTCGTCCCGGACACTTCCCACACTGTGTGTGTGTGTTTTTGGGGGGGAGGGTGCATCCCTGGCCTCCGCCCACAGCACCCTCTCTCGGGGCTGAGACCCCCAAGGATGTCTCCACACACTGCCAACTGTCCCCCAGGGCAAAAATCCCTGGCTTAGAACAACACTGAGAAGAAGGCTTTAGCAAAACAACTGGCGTAGACCTGCCCCCCTGCACGGCGACGCCTGCTCAGTACACACTGGCTGATACAGAAACCAGCGATTCCTGAACGCCAGGCTCTCAGTCATTCACCAGGAACTGGCCTGAATGACAGACGGCCTGCTCGGGGCCGGGCGCTGCTCCAAGCGCCAGGGTGACTTCGGTAACCAAGCCCCAGAAGGTCACTTCAGACCAAGAGGAGCTGATGAGCACTGAGGTTTGGAAAGTAGTACTGGGCGCCCCTCCCCTCCCCGCTGAAGCAGAGACGGTACAGGCAGGAAGGAGCCCTGCGGTGGGAGGTCCCTGACCGCTCCCTGAGGGGGAGGGGGCCGGGAGGATGGGGGTGCAAAGGGCTGAGGCCGGAAACCAGCCAGGGCTAACCACACGGGCCCCCGGAGGTCAGGCGAGAAACCAGGACTTTAATCTGCAGGCTGGGGGAACTGCTGGAGGCTTCTAAGCGGAGGAAGAAGATCAGATTGCGTTTAAAAGACTCGCTGAGCTCCCGGCTGCTATGGGGAGAGGGAAGAGGCTCTGCGGCCGTCAGGAGCAGAGGTGCCGGCGTGGGCTGTGCTTGGAGTCCAGAAGGACTTGCTGGAGGAAGGGTTGTGGAGGGTTAGGGGCAGGAAGCCACAAGAAGAGGCCTAGGTTT